CAACCATCAGAGCAGGTTGTGACTCCCTTCTCTACCTATGTGCTCTTTGTGCTCTCCAACAAAGTCTCTATGTGCCTCCTTTCTTGCTTCAGAAGTCCCTCCCTAACTCTGTTGTAACCAGGAATCACATAACCTTGCATATTACGGCTGCAAGCAAAGGTAAAGGCTTCTCAAAGATATGGATTTCTTAGAAAATTGAAAGATACCCCTCCAGAATAAATTGCTCTACTAATTAAAGCATCCAAGTGCTTATGGTCTTCCAATGCCCAACTTTTTTCCAATGCAGAAATAGGCCCCCTCTTGTTCCTCTTATTGCTGTCAGCAGTATTGCTTGATGAAGGAGCAATAGGCAAAGAAATAGTTCTTGACCTGGATCTTATCACCAGATTCTTGCACCTTTCAATTTCCTTCCTCATTTCACTAAGCATTTCATATGTAACATTAGGACATTTACCTATTCCCCTTCCTCCCTTCTGCAGCAAATGAGCTTCAACTTTAGTGTAACTACTCAGTTTTTGCATTGAACAGTACTTGCAGCGCCACATAGCATTTCCTCCACCAATTTTAAGCTTCTCCAGAATGGTTACATGATCCCATAGTGGAGCCTTGATGTCTGTTGTGTTTGTGGCTATAGATCCTACGCTACCACTTGCACTGCTCATATTTGGAGACGCCATCACTACATACAAGCAACAAGAACTCACTAACTACACTGCAGAAATACAAGATGAAGGGAGGAAGGGGAAGACAAAGTGGGGATGCGGCGTGGGGAGCAAAGAAATCAAGCAACAACCGGCTACGAACTGAAGAAGAAGAGGAGATCGAGAACAGGGAAGGGGATTAACTCACAGGATCCACGTCACAGGGCGAAAACTCATCGCTGGCGGACGGTGAGTAGGGACGAAGGTCATTGCCGGCGAGCGGAGGCGGAGGCTCGTCGCCGGTGCCCAGCGACCGGTGAGCAGTGTTGCGACGCTCGTCGCGGGCGCAGCCATGCGGGACTACGGACATCGAACGCTAGGGCATCAGGGCAGAGGGATAAGGTTCTGTCTACCTGGGCTTCTTACTGGGCTGGGCCGTATCGGTAGGCCAGATACGTGTCGGAAGGTGTATCCAATTTGCACGAAAATAATAAAAAAGTGGATACTCCGAGGATACGTATCCTGGGCGTATCGGACACGTATCCATATCCGATATGTATCGGATACGTGATACGTGGCTTCAGGGACGTATCCGTGTAACATAGTCAGGAGGTGCGATCGGGTTGGCGGCGGTGCTCAAGACGACCGACGGTTGCCGGCGCAGGTGCAGGGCAAGACGAGTTTGGGGCGGTGGCAGGAGATGGTGGTGGTAGCGGCAGCAGCGGAGGTGAGGTTTGCTTAGCTACGACGCTAAGGTTGGGCGAGTCGCCAGGGTCGCTAGGGGCGCTCATCTCATCCCTCCTGTTCACATAGCTATTCGTGTAGCCTTCAGGACCAGTTGTTGATTTTCTGCTCTTGCCTGCATGAGTAGCACAAACAATCTATGACTCAAATTCTTGACAAAGATGGTGACAAGATCCTAACATATGGGTATGTTAATCCTCAGGTCCAATGATTCGCGACCGAAGAGGAACCCACGACCGACCCCTTCAGGATCGCTCGAGGGTTCGGGGGCTATGCCCATCGGGCACGCTCAGGCGCACCCTTTGGCAAAGAGACCCGGTTAAGCCTGATTTGGCCACGACCTCCACCTGGGGCTTGGGGGTTCACCCGAGCCCTAGGCACCCGATCTACGACATATCTGGACCCGGCCCTTGGCTCCAGCCTGGCTAAAGACGCCAGCAGAGGCTCGAACGCAAGAAGACAAGCCCCAAGCTACCGATGCTCGGGGGCTCCCTAGCGCCGCTCCCTAGGCGCAGCCCTACCAACTGCTCCCTCGATAGGGTCAAGTCCAGGGCATGACACAAGAAGACAAAGCTTTCCCTCGGCATCCAGGGGCTTGGGGGCTTCTGAGCCCATGCGTCAGCCCCTGGAGCTGACCTCCTTCGCCACCAAGAAGGCTCTAGAAAATCCACCTGGGGGAGGCCGGTCCAAACCGACATAGCCTGACACGCAGAGTATCAAAACAGAGCAGCCAAACAATGCCCAAGGCTTCTTTAGCTGCAAGACACCGCCACGGTCCACGACGCATCGCTGTAGGACCCTTCTGGAGTCTGGCGCACGTAGACCGTAGACTAGTTCCCCTAAACCGCCATGTTGCCGACCTATCTCGTTATATAAGGGATAAGGTCGGACCTAGGAGGGGGAGGATCCCAGATCAATCACCAGACACTCCATTCCATTCCATCCGCCTCCGCTCTGCACTGAGAGCAAGGCAACCCAGAGAGGGGCACCGAGAGCTCTTCCACCCCATCCCGTCATCTTCCTCCTCTCTGACGAGGGGGAAGGCTCCACTGGCGGTGAGGCAACCTTAGGATTAGCACCGAGCTAACCCCCTACCAAATCTCTCTTTACACTCTATTGTAACCCCCGATTTGGGTGCTCTTGAGTATAAGGATCATCAGCTGCTCGACATAGGGACTGAATTGACCCGAACCAGGATAAACCGTTACATCTTCTCTGTGTGATTCTTGTGTTCTTGATTCCACCCGAGCCACTGGAGACCCGTACTCTGACACCGACTCGAACAACTATGCTTGTCGTGGTTCCGACCACGCGACAGATGGGATAAAATACTATTCGCTTTACTGAAAAGCCAGGCTAAAAAGTATTGTTCACTGATTTGTTGTGAGAGAAAAACATTATACCATGGCTGATAAGTTCAAGCGAACAGGCCGAGTGGTTGGCTTAACCCTGATCCAATTTATGACTAGAAGCCAGATCCGATCTATCACCTCGAAGCCTCATCACTTTTAGCCTAGTTACTTGGTCTTGTTCGAGGCCTAGTAATATACGCGAAGCATGGAGATAAAAATATCTATTTTCTTGGCTGTGCACATAGAATAAATAATGGAGCCAAAAATATAAAAACACGTATATAAAATATACAAATAAATAATTGGTATACTCATATAATATACGGTAAATATGTACAAAGGTACAATGAACATCCATAAAAGTAGGTCAAACTATCGACAAAACAAACTGGCATACATACATATATATAGGGAAGCGCTAGCGCCCGGACATCCGATGGATACGGATCTATCGGACTGTTCTGTGGATGCACTCCCCCAGCACGCCCTCCTCCTTCCCAGTTCTGCACCGCACGCTACCAAGACGCCCCCATGATGCGCGCAAGGAGCGGACCCGCTGGCGATGGTACGAGGCCGGGGCAGCAGCGTGGACCGATGCCGCCGCCCTGAGATCCCGCGCCCGCGTGAACTGCCACTGCTGCATCTTCGTCGAACGAAGAGCCCCACTAACACCGACGAACCCGTGACCTATCATGCCTATGAAGAGCCCCGCTAGCCTCTATGCTGTGCGAGCCCGCATGCCCCCAGATCGCCCCCACAGCCTGTCGCGTCTGCCCCACACCCGCGACAAGCATGCTGCAAGCCTAGCGCCCCCAACAGCCATAGCACCCCACGTCCGCCGGCCCCAGCACCTCCGCCCGCTAGGCCCCGGTGAACCACGTGCCCCGGTCCATCCTGGCTTGTCCCTCCCTGGCCGAACAACATAGAAAGCTAGAATAAAACACGTGCAACAACACGAAAAACAACTACTGCAACATTAGGCTGAAGCAGCTGAAACACCATGAACATATATATTGCAACAACAAGGAACAACAGCTGCAACATTAGGATAAAGCAGTTGAAACACCATGAACATATTATTGCAACAGCAAAGGAACAACAGCTGAAACATTAGGTTGAAGCAGCTGAAACACCATGAACATATTATTGCAACAACACGGAACAAACTGCTGCAACAATAGATTGAAGGAACTGAAATATTTGGAACATATTATTGCAACAACACTGAACAAACTACTACAACAAATAGGTTAAAGCAGCTGAAACATTTGGAACATATTATTGCAACACTGGTGTGAAGCATATGAAACAACGCTCGAAATAAAAACACTTGCAACAACATGGAACAACTACTGCAACATGAGATTGAAGCAACTAAAACATACTGCAACATCTCAAGCGGTACTACTGCAACATCGCAAAAACATCTATTGCAACAACAAAAAAACCCATCGCAACATTCGAAATCATCTGTTGCAACATAAAAAAAATCATTACAACACGGCGAGATCTGACCCCCGAGAGCCTGCCAGAACCCTAGCCACCGCCGCATCCCTTAGATCTAGAGGAGGAGGAGGAGGACTCAGATCCAGAGGAGGAGGAGGGAGGAGTGCTCAAATCCAGATCCAGAGGAGGTGGAGGGAGGAGGGCTTAGATCTAGATCCAGGGGAGGAGCAAGGCCTCAGCCAGAGGAGGAGGAGTAAGGCCTCAGATCTAGATCCCTCCGCAACCTACCTCGTCGGAGCCGCCGCCGTCGTCCTCGTCTCTGGTGGGGTGCAGGAGCCGGGTCGCAGGGAGAGTGGGGATGCATGGAGGTCATGGAGGGCGAGGGACAGAGGGAGGAAGGGAGCACGGGTGGACGGGCGCGCAACGGGCTCACGTGCGGAGGGAGGGAGGGAGGTCGCAGAGGGGCGAGGGACGGAGGGAGGGGGGGAGCTCGCGCGGCGACGGCGTGAAGAGCGGGCAGGAAAGCGGCGTGGAGAGCGGGCAGGAATGCGGCGCGGAGAGCGGGTGCAGGAGAGAGCGAGGGTAGGAGAGAGCGACTGCGGGGCAGCGGGCGGAGCGGGTGAAGTGCGAGTGTGGGGGAGCGAGTGAAGTGAAGCGGTGTCGGACGGGCGGATAAGACGAGGCGCGGTCGGTGAAGTCGTGAATGGTAGTCTGACGCCCGTCCAGCGCGTCGGACATACACGCGTCATAGCATTTCCGATATATATAATGTGAAATGAATATTGAGAGCACACAGTAGGTAATATAATGACGATAACTAATGGTGGTGGTGGTGTCCGTGCTTCTTGGCTTCTTTCCTCTTATGGTGCTCGTGGATGGTGAACCCCGCACTGCCGGCGGCAATGGTGGCTGCGATCTCTTCCTTGATCCTGTGCGACCTTGTGTGCTTGGGGTCTTTCTTGGCCTTGTGCTTCTCGTGCATGGCGTATGCTCGGGCGGCGGCGGCGCCGAGCTGGGCCAGCTGCTCCATGTGCTTGTGGTGCTTCTCCTCCTTGCGCCAATCGCCGGCGCCGGCGGCCTGCTCGGACTTGTTCTGCTTGTCGTGTTGGTGGTGATCCATTGCTACAGCAGCTAGTTAATTAGTGGTGCAACAACGACGACGACGATGTATATGTTGTAGCGCTAGTAGTATGTGTTGCGAATTGTGTGTTGCGTTGTGATTAATTGTATGAAGACGATGATGTATAGAGAGATGGTTGGGATATGAGATGCCACCTGCATGCATCGATGATCTACTTATACAGGCCCTGTTTGCTTTTATCAGTCATACCGTTTCAGTGAAATAACAGTGTTTTTCTCTCACAACAAATTGGCATCAGTATCAGCATCAACCATTTTTTCAGAGCTAATGTTGGCGCAGAAACTATCTAGAATTACTACTCCTGTTAGGAGCGAACGCGGACTTGCATGCATACGGAATTCACATGCATACACCATCGTATTTGCTGGTCTGCATGCCCTCTGCCCTTGCACCAAAGCTAAGTAATCGATCGAGCAAATCACCACGTGTTTTGTTGACTTAGTCCATCGGGGACGCAGATCACCCTCCACGTACGGCAATTTCCCTACACAGATATACTCCAGCTGCATGCATACATATACTCCAATTAAATATCAGCAAAAATGATCAAATTTAACTAACCAACTGTTAGCCAAAATAGGATTGGCAAGTAGATGATAGATTGAAAAATGCATATATGTAAACTAAAAAAGAGCAAAAATGATCAAATTTGGAGCGATATGGGCTAATTTAGAGTTGTCCAGGAAACTGTCCTAGGCTGGTTTTGGCAAGGTGCTTGTAGTGTTTAGTAGAAATCGGCCTGATCCGGTTTCAGTCTTAAAAAAACTCATCCGATCTCGTAGTAAACATGTAAAATGCGTGTTGAAAAAGTTTTCTATTAGGATAAGATCATCGTCTCTATTTATATGAGAGTTGAGAGGATCATAACCGATTAAAACATCCATCTATTCAATTGGCAAAAAAACAATCTACTATATTTTTTTTACCTTTTTTTCATCTAGTACTGCTGGCTTTTCGTTCCCCGTTGCTGCTGAAGGCTGGTGGTTCAACGACGACGAAGCTCTAGAGCCATCGAGCTGGCTAGGACGTTACATAGCCGTCGCACGGTCCCTCCTAGGCATGTGGGGGTTTTAGATTTCAAGAGAGCTCGTCGATAAGTTTTGCATATCGCGCTCCCAGCAAAGCTCCTCTGTTGACACGTCTTGTATTTGCATATTGCGCTCAACACGGGAGGCACCAAGTAAGTGTTTGTGTGCTAACATGCTGTTAGGAGATTCCAAGCATGTTGCAACTTCTGCTTCCTCAACATCCCTGCGATGTTACACAGATCATGCCACCCAGTTAATTTTGGTAGCCCATCTCTTATCTCCAGACTGTAGTGTCTATTACACTCAATAGCAACCAGATAAGCTAGAATTTGTTTGCATTATTTTTGCACTCCATAATTGCAGAAAAGAAAATTCCTAGTTGCCATTTAAAACACTAACACGTTATCCAATCACACGCTCTACCACAAACTTATACACGCCTGAAGGAACTAACTCTCATGTACACGAGCAATTGCACCATTTACACAGAATTTGCTAATTAACGTACAACAACAACAACAACAACAACAACAACAACAACAACAACAACAACAACAACAACAAAGCTTTTTAGTCCCAAGCAAGTTGGGGTAGGATGCTAATTAACGTACCAAAGAAAAAAATATTATCAGCATGTGTTTAAAAAAAATAGCTAGCACCAGTTTCTACCGAGGAACAATTAATGCAATGGTATTGATTTTGAAAATAGAAACAAACATTACTTTACAGCTCGCATGGCGCTAACTCAACAACAACCACGTCAATACTACACGTGATTGCACACATTTGTTTCGCATAGAGTAGGGCAAGAGATTATATATTTTGCCAAGGTTCAATATAGGGCAAACCAAAAAAAAATGCCCCAACGGAGACCTTGCCGTGGAGGGATGGTTAGGCATCAAACCTGTACACCCTCCTCCGCACCACAAGGTCCTCAATTCTTTCTTGGCCTTCAATTATGCAAAAGTTGTACCAAATAAACTTAATTGAGCCTGTAAGATAGAGGCAATATTGAAATGATAGTATTTGGGAATGCCTCAAACCTTCGTGGGGCTCTGTGGACTGTTCCTCCATGACAAGTGAAAGCATCTAGGCCCCTAGTTGGGTTTCGGTGATTAATGACAATACGAGATTACTGTGACTAACGTGCGTTTTGCAGATACAATTAAGTTAGGTTATGGTAATGACAATTGATTGGGCAATCATGGTTGTCATGCCCCTATGATGGAAATTATTTCGGTTTTCAAAGGATGGACGACAAGGTTAAGGATGGACTAGTTCTAAGTGTCGTTTGGTCTTGAGGAGACACTTAGAGTAGTTTAGGACTTTATTTTTCCTTTGGCCATATTATTAAGGGGGGTATGGACAGGTAGCCTGACCTAGATGAGTCTAGTGGGTTAGGTGTGGTGCAGACTTGTCAAATCTAGCACTAGGTAGCTCCTAAGTAGCCCTTAGATCAATTGGAGCAAACTTCATTCATATATGATTGCGAGTTGGAAGTGAATGGAGGGTCAAATGTTGACTAGACGCTGGTTCCGCTATGACCGGACGCTGGGGCAGAGTCCGGTCAATTCATTTGATCAAGGTGAAGTCATTTGGACACGACCGGACGCTGAGTGAAATATAATCGGACGCTGGGTGCCAGAGTCCGGTCAACTCCAGTAAGGTCCCAGAGAGGGAGAATCCTGATCAGATGCATCCGGTCAGTGCAGACCGGACGCTGACCAGGTTCCAGCTACTGACCGGACGCTGAGCCGCAAAGTGACCGGACGCTGGGTGCCAGAGTCCGGTCAACATCAGTAACGTTCTAGGGAGCAGTTTTCGTGACCGAACGCGTCTGGTCAGTGCTGACCGGACGCAGTTCAGACTCCGGTCACAACTTAACTGCTCGGTGGCGGGGAGAACTGACCGGAGCGTCCGGTCACCCCACAGAGGCACATAACGGTTCATTTTGAATGAGGGGTTATAAATACTTCCTCTATTCACTCAAGGGATCACTTTTGCTCATTTCAACAGCTAAGAAACACCCTTGAGAGTGCCAAGGAGAGCAAGGTCCTAGTGAGGTGATTGAGATTTGAGAATCCAAGAGAGAGGCCTCATTAGTGAAAGAGAGTAGAAAGTGTGCATCCACCCTTCTCATTAGGCTTGTTGTGGTCAAGTTAGAGTTCTTGCTTGTTACTCTTGGTGATCGCCATCACCTAGATGGCTTGGTGGTGATTGGGAGTTTGGTGATCATCTGGCGGAGCTTGTGGATGACCCAACTCAAGTTGTGAGTGGTTGTGGGTGATTCACCACGACGGAGTGTCAAAGAATCAACCCATAGAGAGCACTTGATCCTTGTGCGGATCAAGGGGGAGCTACACCCTTGCGTGGGTGCTCCAACGAGGACTAGTTGGGAGTGGCGACTCTCCGATACCTCAGCAAAACATCACGCATTCCTCCTTCTCTATTTCCTTTAAGCATTTACTTTGAGCAATTCAATTCTTGTCTTTACATTCATAGAATTGCCATGCTAGAGTAGGATTGAAACTTAGGTTGGAAAACTTTTGTGCGGTAGAACATTAGAAACACTTTCTAGGCACAAGGGGTGAAGTGGGCTAAGTGTAGGGTTTAATTATTGCAAAGAATTTTAGAATTAGCCCAATTCACCCTCCTCTTGGGCATCTTGATCCTTTCAATTGGTATCGGAGCCTCTTGCTCACGTATTGAAGCTTAACCGCCTAGAGAAAGATGTCTCACGAGGATGGTCCTCCTCCTATCTTTGAGGGAGATGATTTTCCTTATTGAAAAATCCACATGGAGGCGTATCTAGAAGCTCTAGATGTTGGAATACTTAGAGCCGCCTCACAAGGATTCCCAAAACCTCGGGATCCGACGGACCTTCAAGGCGATGAAGTGAACTACGAAAAATGGAATGCAAAGGATAGAAACACCATCTTTAGAGGCCTTTGCAAAGATGTGTTTAACCGGGTGAGGAACCACAAAGACGCCCATGCACTATGGTCGGATATTTGTGCGCTCCATGAGGGAACTAAGAGCGAGCGTGAGGAACGCTATCACCTTGTGATGAAAAAGCTTAATTCTTTTGAGATGCTTCCGAAAGAAAGTGCTAATGAAATGTACTCACGTTTGAATGTTCTTGTAGAGGAAGTCAATAGGCTTGGACTTACTCAAATGCAACCATCCGATGTTGTAAGAAAAATCTTGAGTGTCCTCCCCATTGATAAATATGGGCATATTGTGACCGTGCTTCATCAAGGTGATCTTTCCACCGCTATACTGACTCAAATCTTGGGAAAGATCAACGCTCATGAGATGTACATGCACATCACACCATAAGATGGCTCATCCTCTACCATGAAGAAAGACAAAGACTCGCCATTCAAGGCTAGCCAAGAGAAGGGCAAAGGAAGAATTGAGTATGAGAGCTCAAGTGATGATGAAGTTGATGATGCAAGTCTTGCTCTCATGGTGAGAAGAACCGCCAAGATGCTAAAGAAGCTCAACAAGAATGGCGTCAAGTTTGATGTCAAGAAAAAGAAGTTCTTCACTAGCACTAGAAGGAAGCCAATCTCCAAGATGTATTGCTAAAATTGTGGAGAACTTGGTCATCTAGCTCATCAATGCACCAAGCCCAAGAAAGACAAGTACAATAAGAAGTACAAGGGCAAGAAAGATGTCGACAGAATATCGTCGGCAGTCCTCCGAGGGGTGTCCCACGAAGGTAGATTGATCGGCAGAGAAGCGTGCGATCAAGAACAAGAAGGCAATAGAGACACATGAGTTAGATAGGTTCAGGCCATCAGTATGATGTAATACCCAACTCCTGTGGTCTGTTGGTTTGTATTAGCTATCGTATGATATTGCGTGAGTTTGGAGGGGGTCCCTGCCCACCTTATATAGTCAAAGGAGCAGGGTTACAAGTCGGTTAGATCTGAGAGATAACTGAAA